CATCAAATGATGTAGATTTGCTGTGCTTAGGAATGGGCAAAATATGTGATTCCTTCCACAAGGTAGGATAAGTTTCACTTTCAAGAGCAAGATTAAATATCTTTCATAAGAGGGATGGGAAGGTCGTGTTTGCATCGGATTTTAAAATGCTTACTGGGATACCATCAGGACCTGGACTATAAGATTGACGAAGACGCCGAATCGCAACAGTCACATCCCACAGAGTGAAAGTTATAGTTTCTAGAACTGCCCCGGTCAATGGCTGGATGGTCGGAAGCGGAGTGGTCGAGTCTTCAGTAAAAGTTTTGGACAGGAAATCATTGAAGCTATCAGCGGTTAACTGGGCATCAACTATGGGATTTCCGAAGGCGTCTCGGAGGATGGGATGCTGCGTCTTTCGGTGAGTTCGTATTTTTCTAGATAAAAGTTTCGAGACATTTAACGAATGGTTTTCGGTAAACTGAACCTCTTCGGCTAGCTGTTTTTCTTCAGACATAAATGATATCTCGGCGGCAGTTTAATATTCTCAATCATTTACTTATGCCATTTATCTCAAATATGTATATTCTTTCAATAAATCTACGACACTTCATTGCCTGCAGCAAATCCATGCTGACTTGCTTGCTCTCTCAACTGGGAGCTCAAAATGTCTACTGGAATTCTTTCCGTCTAAATGTCGATATAAGTGTTTTGGGCCTGATAGTTTGCCCAATCCAGTGGTCTTTCAAGGCACACTTATGACTGAATGCACCACCACCAAGGGTTTGGGTTTAAGCTACAATAATAGTCTTGGTATCTCGCCACACGCTGACAGAATTACGACCAAAGCTGCCCAGATTTGTGGCTTTATTTCTTACAATTTCTATCTTCCTGAAATTAAATTAAGGCTCTATCGTATGTTTGTACTTCCCATTCTCTAGTATTGCTTCCCATTCTTTGGTTTGATGAACGAGGCTAGTCGATCAAGAATCAAAAATGTTAAAGGACGCTTTACTAGAAAACTGTTAGGCATAGCACATCCAAATATCTCCTAAAATCGCCTAAAATTTCTATGGGTTCGAAGACTAGAAGCAGGCTTCTGTTTCCTATTTCGTATTAATAATAGTTCAAATCTTCCTCGGATTTCAGCACTTACCCCTAGTAGTCGCCCATACAATCTTCGCAACTCTTCCCTGATTGTACCTCCTCCCGCCTCCTCCACCTCTAAGCGTTCTCTGTTTTCGCTTCCAGGTATACTTTCCTCTGAAAAAATCTTCCAATAAATATAAGACCTTCAGACAATCTACACACCTTTGAGAGAGGGCTACGCCTTTATCTGAATAATGACTCGGTTAAACTCTATTTTCCTCATCCTTCCGGGACTAAGTACTCTATGACAAAGAAAGGGCTACCGGGAATTTAGGACGTCGCCATTAAATTTTCGTATACGTTCACATTTCCTTCTTTTGTGTGTAGTAAAGCTTCCTAGGATCCCTCATCAGAAACGTTAATTTTTCCGATTTTTCAGTTCATGAATCGTGCCCCTCACGGAATGCGTTCTGTCGACGCTCTTGGCGGAACTCTGTGTATTCGCCATATACTAGTAGTCTGGTCGCATCTCCCTTGCTCCTTCCTCAGCTGGACTCGAAGCTGACTGTAACCGTTAGCATTTGGGTTCCTATCGCCTCGAGACTGGTTTTCTATTCTCCAATTTGATATGAATGGTCTCATCAGACATATGAATTCTGCCCTGATGATGCCCGTTTCGAACCTTTTACTCAAGGCCACTTACAGTCCAGTCCTTCCTGATCCGCCTACTTACCCCTTCATGAAATCTGTTATACACTGCCACATGCAGGCCGGTCCTGCCCGCATTTCTGTCTTTCATGAGCGACTTTTTTTTCTCCTGCAAAGTTACTTTAATCACTTTTTTAAATTCTGGAGTGGATTTTCCTTACTGCTCGCTCGCCATTTTTCCTAACGAACTACTCATTCAATAGCCATGTATTACATGCTGCACAGATTTTGCCTACCTCTTCTAAAATTTATGTGAGAATTTATTTTTACTTGCTCTAACGAGACCTCGACGTGTCTTTCATAATTTTTATTTATTTATATAAGCACTGCCGGTTCTAAACATAAACGGGATGCTCTTTTTAGAATATCGTATCCGAGGATAATTTGAGACATTGAGCAAATCAAAGTCTCCAGGAACAAACGAGATCCCCCCAAGCTTATGAAAGAACTTACCCGTGAACCTTCTATGCCTCTATCTATGCTCTTTCAAACGCCTTTTAACACCGATATACTTCCTATCGATTAGAAACTGCTCATGTTACTCTACTATACAAAAGCAGTAGCTGGACGACGGCGACAAATAGCAGGCCCATAGACTTGATCTAACTTCTCTGCCCAGTTACCGAGATGATCATGAAGAGCGAATTGGTGCAATTCCTGGGGGTTCGCGACTGGCTATCGAACTGCCAACACGGGTTCTGGAAAGGAAGATCCTCTACGACGAATTCGCTCCAGTTTATTCAGAGCTGGACCAGACCTCTCGACGACAGCCACGCAGTCCACGCAGCTTTCATTAATTTCTAAAAGGCTTTCGACATTATACTACACCAGAGACGATTACATGAGCTGAAACAATAGGGACCAGAGGTAACTTCCTCAATTGGATCGAACACTACCTTGTGGGTCGACACCAGGTTGTGTGCATCGGTCAAGGAAAATCAGACTCTGCTGTTGTCAGGAGGGGCGTTCCGCAGGGTTCAGTACAGGGACCCACTTTGTTCGTGATTTACGTGGACGACTGCGTAAGAGCTTTGGATCGCGAAGCAGCAATGTTTGCTGACGACATGAAAAATGGAGTATAATCCAGGGCCCTGCCTACCAAGAAAGACTAAAGATGAACATAAGCCGGTTGGTGGAGTGGTCAAACCGCTGGCCCATGCGATTCAACGTCGGTAAGCATAGCACACTTCGTCCAGGCAACCCAGTCATATCCGCCAGCACAAGAAACTACTTTCTCGACGGTGCAGCTTCACGAGACGTGGAAGACCAGAAGGACTTCAGTGTGCTGACGACAAATCCCTAAAACCATCCGCCCGTCGATCGACAGTGACGAAAGCGCAATGTTCATACTGTGCGCCATCAAGCGGACCTTTATAGATATTGACGAAGACGTCTTCTTAAGGATTTTCGGAACATCCGGGCGGCCGCACTTGGAACACAGCGTACAAGCCCGGAGACCATGGGCGGTTCAAGATCAAAACAGTCTTGGAAGAGTCAAGAGGAGAGCCACGAAAATGTCAGCAACTTATATCTCTTTCATTCATATGCGTTTCTAACGAATTCGCTTTTCTATTTATGGGAATCAGTCATGCATGAAGGAAGTTCGCGGTTAATGCAATAATCTCGCCATATTATGACAATTGGAGACTATCGTCCACATTGTGTACACAGGTCGAAAGCTTTAGAATACTTACATGTAATAACACGAATTTCCCATTAATATGTGCCCAGTGCTCTATGTGAAATAGTGGGTGCCGCGTAGGACTTAGTTATACGGCCGGATCAACTGGGATAAGAAGTTACGGAGTTTCGAGGCGTCATGTTTAAGAGCGAATTAGTAATGTCTCGTGGGTATGCACTTTGCACGCGATAATTTATTTCGTAAGGGGGTGCCCAAAATGGCTAGGAAGCGCCTCTGCGCAAATTTTCAAGGTGGCTGGCTTAGAGGTGGCTAACATGTTGTAAGCCCACACATGTCCCCATTCACAGCCCAGTCTAGCTCTCCACAGCCAACTTTAGTTCCTCAAAACTAGAGGGGCTCTTCGGGGCTGATGCAATCAGGGACCTATAAGTCAAGGCCTGTTTATAAGACACAGAGCACTCGATGTACCACATAATATAATCTCTTGGCCCTATTGGCGGTTGATCCTATAGGCCAAGCACATTTAGTTGTTCTCGGGTGTAAATAAGGTCAAGGTCGATTGACTGTCGTCGCTCTTCAGCCCGCGTTCCAAGGCCAGCATTCTGACGGATAAGTTTGTCTGTGTCCAAATCCGAACGCTATCACTAAACGTAGCCTTGAATCCAACCCTAGCTCTAACCCTAACCCTAGCCTTAACACTAACTCTAACCTTATGACTAAGCCTTACTTCCCGGGAATAGGTGGATTCCTATTCCCATACCTTGCCATGGTATTGGTTGGATCAGCAGTTTACTTCCAAATCTGGCTCCCCACATGGGTGTCAGAGTTAGCGCAAAAGAATAAATAACTAGTTAGTAATAATTCCCAGATGGCTTCTACTATCTGCAGCCGGTCACAGATTTACCTTATATTCTTAATGTTTCATAGATGTGCCCCACATTTGCGAAAAGTATATATGCCCACATACTTTTCGATCTTCTTATCCATATATTAGTACTTGGCTCTATTAGCTCGGCCTGACGCTATTTGTGAGTGAGTTCAAAGTCATGGGCCATGTGGGCAGTTTTGTTTTGATCTATTTCGACGTTCCCATTATGTCTAATGCATCCTTGTTAGCGCATGTCTCCCTCCTGGGGAATAGCATATACTGGGGTGAACGACGCCATGGCCAAGTTTGAGGGGTCGTTCATCTTTCCTTCTCGACACAACTGATGGATAATATTGCCACTTGTTTGTGGTAGAGGTAGCATGGGTACGCCACTTTCATAGCTCGAGACGAAGAAACCATCCTTTTATTTGTTTTCAAGGAATGGGGTGGAATAGGTCACCTGTTGTAATCCCAGCTGTTGGCACAGCGGTTTGCCCACCTATTCAAGGCACCTAGAGATCGGCCGAAGGCATTGTCCTTACAGACTCCTTAGCGAGGCCTAAATATATTGAGGTATATTCGGATTTCTGAAAACGTTATCTATCTTAACTGGAAATTCGGCGAAACACAGCTCATTTATGCGTTGAACGTCAGAGGCTGACGTTCTTTTACGGCACCCGTGTTATTTACTATATTTGGTAATTTTTTCAAAATATGCCTTCTCGGATAGCAGAATGGTTAAGACCCCGGTCATCTGCCCTGAAATTGTATCTATTTTTCATTAACCTTCTCTTTTTGGTAGGTTGATAGTTTAATTTATAATAAATTTAGTTATTTGGCATTGCTCTCATAGCAGTGTCTATATACGTCAGCTTAAACCGTGCCAACACTCCCGAACTCGTAGGAAATTACTTATTCAACGCTGCTGTATACGTTGTGCTTTTTGCAATTATACTTCTTTTTGTGACTTCGCTCGTCGGCCATTTCGCAATTGCAAAATACAGTCGTGTCTTACTTTTGCTTGTAAGTCACACACTATTTTGAAGATTCGTAGTACGCTGTGTTGTTAATAATAATGCTCCTCCTACTCTTCGGTGGCGGAGTCAGCTTAGCTGTCTTTCCAACCATTGTAAGATCGATACTGTGATCGCATTATTGAAAAGTTTCAAGCAACCGTCATCTCCACCATGAACGAATCACTCACGAAAGAATATGGAAAACACGGCATAGTCACGGACGCATGGAACTTTGTTCAGTCACAATTACGTTGCTGCGCCGTCTTGGATAATGGCTGGATTGCATACAGGGGGTCCTGGTGGGACCACTCCGTTAATGTAGATATCTTCGCAATGTCCTCAAAATTGTCAGGTAAGTGTAATATTTTTTTCTGATTGTCCTCCCAAGAAAATAGCTATTTCTACAAACTAGTCCCTATTTCGTGCTGTTTAACTATAATCGACCCCCTAACAGGGTGGCCAACAGATGTTTACAGAAGTATCACGCAATGTCAGAATTGGCAATATGGTCCACCGCGTTTCGAAAATGGGGCCCATAACGATGCTATTTACTATCGAGTAAGTAATATTTCAATTTACTCGGCCAGGGTTGTTTCTCGGCAATCAAATCTTATCTAGAGCGATATAGTCGACCTATCGCCGGACTGTCTATTTTTATGTTCTTCTTACTGGTGAGTAAAAACTTTTAGTCTTCTCTTTCTTAAACTTTAGTCAGGACGATCCGTTATTTGCTCTCAACTCTAACTGCCAAGCCCCTTTCTCTTCCTGAGCATTTTGCTTACATCACATCTCTTGCTCAACATAACGGGACATACCTTGATGTCTGAAATTGCATCATAACGCAAATAGGATTTTGACCAAGCACAGGGGACTCAGGGTTGTTCATATGTTCATTTACATAAGTATGTAAAACACGAGCGAGTGCGCCCTTCAAACCCTGACATCGACCTCTGTCTACGTAAAGTGACTTTCTTATCGGTTTCCTTACCGTAAATATGCACAAATAGTTACAATAATCGTCTGAAAACGACGAGTTACGGTTTGATTATTACCTGTAATAATCCACCAGCCTATCAACACTGACGATGTGCTGGCTGAATCAGTTGATTCCGCAACATCAGTGTCCTGGTGCGTGTACCTAACTCCGGCCCACTTTTATGATTTGTTAAATTGAATATGACTGAGTCGTCTAGATGCATCCATTTTACCAAGGTGAGAAACGTTCGTGCAACCATTTCTACAATACGAACCCAAACAACGCAGTTACAATGCATTCTGAAAACAGTTAACCTGTAGTGGCACGTGCAACAGACTTAGTTTACACGGATTCTTACTTCTTGTACAGAAAACTCGTAATTTATCCTTCAGCCGGAACGGCATCTCACTCAATCCTTTTCAAATCGTCGTCCCACTATTCGCTATCTTTTTGCGGTGGCCTTGTTTCTAGCTGTCAAAACGCTATATATGAACACATACCTGACTGTTTGCTCTTTCTGTAAACTGTTTTCTCTATATTCCATAGTTATTTGCCGTCGTTGTATCTGTCTTACTGCTGAGAAATATGGACAGAAATATGAAGCAGAGAAAGGCGCCGATCTAAGTACTCTCGACCTCATCCGACCAGGGCTCAAGCAACGTAGTCTTCCATCTTGAATGTGACACCGTCCGTTTGTCTGCTTTTGTACAAACCTTCCTTCAAGTCATTTACTTTGATAAATTCACCTTTTTGATGCTCTTGCATGGTGCGAGTCAAGTGTAACTAGGTGAGGCCGAATGCTCCGCTCAAGCAAATGATAGTCCTTCTCTTAAAAGCGAAAATCAAGTTCTTGGGATCTGGCAAATACAACAGCAACTTCTTCCCCTGTCAAGACCAACAATTATGCGTCGTGTGCCATTATTGCAAAATCGATCCCGGAAAAACTTCCGGGCAAGAAATGTCCAAAGGGACAAGTGGTGCGTCTCACCCAAGGGGCTATTGCGCACAAGAACTCCAAAATATAGGGAAAACTGGTCAACTGGGTAGGAAATTTTCACACTAGTCTCGTATCTTCAAATCAGAAGTGAAAGGTCGAAAGATGGGGTCTTGTCCCGAAAAAATTGAATGCTAGCGCGGGGAGAGCGAAGCATATTTGCCGAGGATCAACGTGTGTAGTTTGCATGACGTCTCTCTCGAAAAAACCGGCCCTCCTTACGACGTAATTCTACTGTCCTAAACATCCAAATCAAACAGTCCTCGTGGACGGTCTGCGCGAAGAAATATTTCTGCCGCCCCCACACTACAGTAACAAGTGGCAAAATCTGCGATCCAATGAACTTCCGACCTATTCAGCAGCCAACCCCTACAATCCGTCTTTTTCCAATAGGAACGACTAGTTGTCTGGGATAAGTGTTTCACACAGCAATAGCACCCACGCATGCCTTTGCCTCGACTACCACATTAACGGATGACGTGAGACAGAGCGACTGGTCTCTAGTGCAGATTCAATCGAGGGTCCGAACACCATTTGTTTACAGTCCTCTCACATCTTCGGTCAACTCCTTTATAACTAGAAAACGTGAAGTGTTACGTGTACTTTGAAGTTGCAATAAGGACAACAGCGGGGGGAATTTAAAATTATATACAAAAAAATCGAGTGGGCGGGAGGTTTCACCGCGGTTTCTTAGAGTGGCCAAAACCGCCGAATCCCATAATGGCAGCAACGTCTTCGTCTTCTTCATACAGGTCCCCATCTGCTTTGCGCTTCTTTTCCTTCCTCTTCTCCTTCCTGTACGCCTTCATTTTCTCCTCCTCTTCGGCAATCTGTTTCACTCTTTCCTCAAAGTTGTACTCCTTCGACTTTGTCTCTTTCATTTTCTTGTGCATGGAGAACCTAAAGGGATTAGAGCCATCTCCGTGAACCCATACGAACCTGCTCTTCACCTCATCCAGACTTGAACGCTTGATCCGCATAGACATGCCCAGATTTCGCTGATGCTTTTTGCCATTCACGTGATCCAGAAAGTTTATGGAATCCTTAACCACACAGTCGCAGTATTCGCAGTAGTAGCCGGCCTGTGAGCTGCCTGGGCCGGTCTTAGCAATCACCTGGGACTTGTTAAGATTGGCTTCAAGAGGTATCTGGCTTGGTATTAACTGGTAAAAAAGCAAAGATTACAATTTCCGTACGAGGTCGTAAGAGCTGCTTCTTCACCGTGTCTTTTTCCTTGCGTGCATTGCGCAGAGCTTCTAGCTCCTCACTCGACCGTTGGTCGGCAAGCTTCTCGAAGTAGGCCCTGTCCCATTTTCTTCTGTGGTCGTTCTGTCAGGCATTTGAGACAATAAAAGCTATCTTACCGCAGCACACATGTGGCTTCAACTAGTGTCAACCAGCTAAAAGTGAAAATGACACGGGAGAGGCCATAAGTTCTGGGATATTCGAGATTCGAGCTGGTCTGATAAAACCAGGAAACGGTCGCGCGATAGTGGTTGGCTTGACACATAAAGGCGAGCTCGCTAGAGGATAAAGATCTTAGTTTTTGAGCATATGAAGTCTCACTAGATTTTGTGTTTGTCGGTTGTCAACGTGCGCATGCCGATTGTTTCCACTGCCTTGGCTCTTCTCAATAGTTGGTCTTGTCAACTACAAAATCGCCCTCCCTTGACCTTAAGTCTAAATCCGGCCGTTCTGAAAATAGCTATCAGACTAGTTGTGCCACCCTAACTGCGACCCTGAAGCGCAAACCCCAAAGTTGAAGGCAAACCAAAGGCCTACTAGTCTTAGACGATGTCGTGTGTGGGAACCAGTTGTTTCCCGGCCACTTTATTCTAGCGAAATTTACTAGGACAAAAATGGATTCAGTATTTAAAAATAGTCATTCGACTATCTCTCAGACGATAGCGGGGTACAAATGACCAAAAAAACGAGATTGTAGTCTTCTCGGGCTCCGAAAAGAGTGGAGTTCGATCTCAATACCACGTCGCAAGCATTTGCTGGCCATGTATCCAAATGAAAGTCATATGGCCAGCCACACTGACTCCATTCCAGTCACATCAAGGTTTCGTAACTAGGTGCACGGTGACAGGCCGATGAGGAATGCCAAAACTAACGTCTAAAAGTTCTCCTCCGTCTGCGTCCAGAATGTCTCGGGAAAGTCGCCTTGATATCAAACAATTGCAACTCAGCACAGCTAACACTCGGAACATGGAAAATTGACCAGTAGCAAGCAGTCATCATTAAAACCCTCTGTCCGCGGGGCAGTTGAGAGGATTCACCTGTTAGCATAGTGTTGCCGCAATTACTGGATCAAATCGAAAGACATACAATTCTGACAAACATCTTGGGCTAGGTCTCGCAACGAAAATATGTGCCGTCGATTCCGGAAAGAGAGGGCAAAGTCGGCCAGGTGCGACAAAAATGGTGGACTGAAATGGCGACTTCTGTGGAGCAGGCCTCAAACACCGGCGACACTCGACATCCCCAAGAACTGAGTCGTCGAGTTAGTAACTAGAACCTGGTACTGATTTGTGGCTCGTAATGTGAATGGTGACCCTATTTCTGAAAACTTCGCAAACATTGGTGTGGGAACTTCAGGCGACTCGCAAACTTTGACGACGCAACCATCTTCTCCTTCTAGGGCTGGAATATTCTTCTCCAGTCTACGTAGCGTCCTGAATTTTTTCCTGGAAAAAATCTACCGATATAATACAGAGCGTGTGCAACGAAAAGACATCTCTGTAGGAGTTGACAGAGCTATTCTCAATACTAAAAACTTTGGCTTTATGAGGAAGCCGAAAAGGATTGTAGGAGATAAGGTTGTTTTCGATGACCGGAACCCAGTCACCTACGTGCCTTTCTCTGGGCTGATGGATAAGAAAAAGCAAAGTAATGATCGCAAGGCACTGACACTGCTGATGAGGTCTTTGACATCGTCGTTCATGCGCAGGCTTAAGCACTAGGCTCGAAGTTGAATTTGGATGTTCCGAACGACTACTCGCACTGCAACGCATCCTTGAGTTTTGTCATGGCCGCCAATAAGCATCGGCAGTCAACGTTGTCGACTGCTGCGGCTGTAGCCGATAACCTCCACTCCGATGTTCGGCGTCTTGGTTCAACACCCAGCTTCGTCAGAGTCATCCGCCTTACCTGCAGGCTGT